CCCCAAAACCCCAAAACCCCCGCTTAGAAAAAAAGCAGGAAAGATTTAGTGATAAAATGATATTATTTTAATTTTTAAGGCATTATTATTATAATTTAAGCGATAAGCTGGAATCTATAGATCTAGAAATGCCATCTAATGAATAAGTAAATCTTAAAATGACAAAATTTCTTTATGCAACTATTGTACTATGTTATCTTGTCGATCATTTTGACTTGGGAATATTTGCGCAGGCAGCTGCAAGTATTTAATAAGATCTAAAAATCACATAATCTGGTGTTGGACTTTTAGAATCAGGAATGTACATTGGAAACATTATTGGTTGTATACTGTGCCCATTTTTATTTAAAATAATTTCTTCAAAATGGTTAATCATTAATGCTAGTATACTCAATGCACTATTACTTTGCCCTTTCTATTTTTCAAGCAATTTCTGGCTTTTAGTTTCATGCAGAATAATTCTCGGTATTTTCCAAGTCATCTTTGTAGTGTATTTCCCAGTATGGATTGATTAATGCGCTCCAAAACATCTGAGAACAATATGGTTAACAGTAATGTTTCTTTAAGTTCCACTTGGAATAGTTCTTGGTTATGGAGGGGCTGCTCTTCTTAAATCTGTTGCTTCTTGGAAATGGGCTTTCATGCTTCAAACTGTAATTATGATTGCTCCACTACCAATTTTGTTTGCTTTAATTCCAAAGATTTACTACACAGCAGGTCCAGAATAGAAGGAAGATGAATAGTAAATAATGCTAACAAGATGGTCTGAGGGTTAAAATGATGATAAAGCAATAAGAACTATAGGAAATAGCGTTCCTTTTAGTCCAAATGGGTCTAGAAGAATTGACATGGATATTATATCATTAGAAGTTTTAAGGAATTCCTTGGATTAATCATAAGACCAAACTATGATTAAAAAGTCAGAATCATATGATGCTAATTAAGAATTAGAGAAATCAAAAGAAGTTAAGCAAGAGGAATATCAAATAAAAGAGTTGCCTCTTGGTAGAGTTGTATATAATCTTTTACTTAACCCCTCCTACATATTTTCAATCATTTCTATGACTAATATCTGCTTCATAGTCACTGGATTATAATATTGGGCAACATATTACATGATTAAAGTTCTTAATGGCTCAGAAGCAAAAGTTAACCTATTATATTCAGCTACAGTCATAACTGGACCTGCAGTTGGTGCACTTTCAGGGGGCATATTCTCTACGAAATTTCTAGGAGGATATACTAGCTCAAAAGCAATTTATTTCTGCTTTATAACTTTTCTATGTTTGATTGTGGTTTCTATACCAATGCCTTACACAGATAATATATATCTAGCAATGGGTCTTGTCTGGCTGTAATTATTTTTCGGAGGAGCAATTGAGCCTAATCTTACAGGTATAATTCTTAATACAGTTTCAGCTATAGAGAGACCTACAGCTTCTTCTTTTGCAATATTATTTTATAATGTGTTCGGGTATCTACCAGCTCCATATTTCTACGGATTGCTGGCTGATTGGACAGCAGAATACAATTCTGAAGGAGAAAATATATCAAGAATCCCGATCAAAGTGCTTATGTATTCAAGTACACTCGGTGCTCTTTCCTTATTTTTAGCTATATTGTTAAGGAGAAGATCTTAGCTAGCTGGCTTTAAAAGAGTTTGCTCTTCTATTGAGCGAAGTAATGAGAACATACCCAAAGAAAAAATAGCTGAAATGATAGTAAGAACTTAGTTAGCTTCTAATAATGATTAAAGTGACAGTAAAGCCCTTGAAAAATTTGTAAACACATTGTCCCTTGGTAATAAAATTATTGACATTTCAGGTAAATCTATTGATTATTCCCAGCAGCTTTTGGATAATAAAAATTCTGTTAATAGCCCAAATGAGGACATCAATGAAGATGCTAATAAGATAAAGTTTAGATTAGACAATCAGGATAGAAATTAAATGCTAACAGGAGACTAGAGAATTTTTAGGTCTAACCAAGATTTTTCAAATAAGGAGAAGGAAATGCTCAGAAGGACTCATGGAATGACCATACTCCTTTCTAGAAGTGCTCAGATAATAACTCAATGATTCAATTCCGATTAAGTTATATCCCTAAAATAATATATAAAATATTTATTACTATATCATTTATTTAAATTTTACATATTTCTTTATAAAGTGATCCATGGGGTTTTGGGGTTTTGGGG